TAAGTAAATGAAGCGGTCGTTGGACATTAATGATCATGGTCAAGGAAGAAGGTGAACGTCCAGCGATTTCTTCCCCTCAACAAATTAAGAAAAAAGGATATGTAGTGATTTAGAGACTGTCGGGTAAAGAGAGTTTTACCCTTAGAAAAGGATATATTTTTAAACAAGCCTTACAATTTTATTTGACTTTGGAAGAATGATCCTTAAGCAGCAAATGATTGACCAGCACTCTCTTTCCTTCCAATTGTTCCCAGTTTCTCGCTGTTCTCACTCATCTTGTTCTGGCACTTCCCATATTGTTGCTACCTTTGATACCAATCCTGGGCGGAAGTGAGGTCTGGAACGAGAGAGCCGTCATCTTCTTTCTCGTGTTCTTCTGCGTGTCGACGCTGATTGCCGTCATGCCCACGGGCGCTGAAAATCCCAGATGCTGGGAACATTTTGTAAGGTATTGTTAACCTGACCAAAAAAAAAAACCTGAGTTGTTTCAAGCTTTTCGAGATCATCCTGCAAACATTCAAATCCTTTCGAACACGGACTGATCAATCGAAATGTTATGTTCTTCAGATGTCTGTTCAAGGGAATCGCATTTTAATTAACAGGCTCGGAATAATAAGGAATAGGAGGAGAGAAATTGTCTTAAGTTCGGATTAGCGACAGGTTTGAGTTGATATATAGATCTTGAGCTTAATAGCAAACTGTTCGTATGGTGACATAAAGGAATGTTAATCGACTAGAATAAGCGAAAAATCTTGAACTTATTTTTTGAGTCGCCCATTAAACGCTTCACATTGTAACTTACAATTATATATTACGGTACAATGCTTATCAAACAGGACAACCTTTGAGAAGCCAACACTTAAGTTGTACACTTCTTTTTCTGTAGGTGGTGTATCGTCAACGTGTATCATGTCAGGGTCATCCGGGAACTTTTGAGGGTAGACAATGTCGGTCCCACTCCCCCTTCAATTCTTTACCTGAGTGACGGAGGCCATATTGAAAACCTGGCCCTTTTATCTTTACTGAAACGGAGGTTAAAGAAGATCCTGGTGGTCGATGGGGGAATTGTAGAAAAGGATTCGGGAGTAGCAAGCGATCTGCTCATTTCCCTGGAACAGGCTCGACAAAAACTACGATGTTCATTCTTAGGAATGGATGGAAGAGATGTAATCGAAGACATCAGAGCAAAGGTAATCGATAAGCCAATGGGAAAGAGACCGAGGAGTTATCAATTTAAAGTGGAGTATTACGATTTGAACGAAGATGGGGAAGAACAGAAAGTTGGTGACGGAAAAGTGCTTTATATTCTTCCACGTCACCCAAATGATGGCCTCCCGGGAGGGCGAAAGAGCTGGGACGAGTTGAATGATCACTTTAAAACCGATATCGAGTCTGGCCTATGGGGGACTGGACCTGATTTGGAACCAGAAGAGGTGGAGCGCCTGACGTTTTGCCTCTTTGAATGCTGTCATTGCTCTATTTTGAAATGTTTATCAAGTTCTCTTTGTGGTAAATTCCCGTATCATTCTACAGTCAATCAGTTCTTCACGCCTGCCCAATTTTCAGCGTATCATCGGGAGGGCTATCGCGCCTGTATGGAGGCCCGCGCCACCGAGTTTCTAAAAGGATCTAAGGAAATCTCAGAAGAATAGAAACTTGAAGTTAAAATTATTATTATCTAAAGTGGTACTAAGACGGATTATAGTTTGTAAGCAATACCTAAAGGAACAAGTGTATTTTCTACCGAGAAATATAAATGGTTAAGAGATGGATGTACAAAATGATTTTCGTTCTGTACGACGTGTTCAGCACGCTATTTTAAAATGTTCATATGCGGCATCTAAGATTTCATACGAGTAAAAATTAATAATGAAATACGCGATATGCATAGTAATGAGTGTTCTGAAAATTTTGACTGAGCGCTATGACGATAATTTGACAAATCTTTGACTGTTTCTTAAATTCTCTGTTTTCTGTATATATTCAGAATAGACACGTCTTTTCATGGAGTTGATTGCCGGAGCAGAAAGAAAAGCTTCACGAAGAATGTTTCCATTGCATACATCTGCCAATTATTTCAGCTCCTCTAAACCGATCTCTTACTTATTGATGAAACCTATGATGTTGATTTGACGTTATCAACTGAGTTAATAATGTCAATTCGCCACCGAAGAGGATTTCTAGAAGCTCTCTGCGGTGGCTTACTGAATTAACATTATCAACTCAGTTCATAAAACTAATTAAATTATCTCGTTATGCCCTCCTTCTATGCAGCAACACAACTTTTTTCAGAAAGCTACCCTCTTTATTCATATGATGTTAAGCTGGTAATTCAGTGGTTTTAGAGAACTGGCCGATGTGAACAGATGGCCGATGTAAATTTTTCCCGCGTGGCGGCGATCGACTGAGTGTAAAGGTTACAAAGGAAAAGCCGGTAATAGAAATATCAGTCAATTATTGATAAAATTATTGTTTGGAGATGAGGAAGGAAGGAAGGCCTAAACGTATCTAGGTGGCCCAAATGAGTTTTATAGTTGTTTTCATCTTTGCAGGCACTCTAAGATTATTTGATTACCCTTTTTTATTTGTTTCCTGAAAAAACAGGACAAATCCATAATTTCAAACTTGAATATTGCTCAGAACCTACGACACATATTTTCAAGGAAAAAAGAATTATAGAAGTATGACTTTTTATGTTTTGCTGGAGCAAAATAGATTTTTTTCGGGGAAACAGAATTTTATTTGGAGGTATGGACTTGAAAAGCCAAAAATGATTTAAGTGCGTTTCTAAGAGACTGTAGTGTCGCTATGGTAACTCATCGCATTAAGGAAAAGGCATCTCTGTAACTGAAGATGAAAGGAAATTTGTGCTAGGCTATTATCAAAGCAAGACGCGGTAATTCCATTGTTGTATTGTTTCATCAAACATTGGCTGCTAGAAAAGGAAATTTTTCTATGCCTCTCTTAACTAAAACCGAAGTTTGTTGGCATTCAGCGCTCTCAGTAATTTTTTTTAGAGGAGTAAAAAAGTTATCCTCTGAATGACAACTCTGTTCTTTTTACAGAAATTAAAAATATAACAGGAAACCAGGTTCTGGTTTTATAATCTGTTACAAACATAAAAGTGGTAAAAGGGTATTGATATTTGACCTTATTTGTTCCAGTTTTGTTCCGCTAAATACTATAAATTATAATGTTGCTCCAAGTAAATATGATCAGCAGAAGTTTATTCACCTCTTTATTAGGTCAGCTCTTGATCGCAACACGAAGAAAAGAAACGTTTATGTCAAATACTGGAACAGACAAGCACAGATCAGGTACTATTCTTCCAATTAGATCAGTTACATTGAGATTAATCGATGGGGTTTATTTAATATAGGATTGGAATGATC